CACCTTGCCATTTGTGCAAGGTCCCGCCGCTGCTCCTGGGCACTTGCCTGGCTCCAGGACATGGTCGCTGCGTTGTCTGCCGCTTGCGATGAGCCTCGTGGGCCACCGACCTGCCCCAACTGCTACTTTGTCGTGACAACGTGGGTGGGGACAGTTTATTAAGTTCTTAACAGTAATGTTTAGGTTACTTACAAAAAGTTCATGACACTTTAGACAAAATCAGCTATCATTATGTTATTGGTTTTGCTGATAAATTTATAGGCATAAGTCTTGGCTTTGTAGGCAGAAAACTTGTTACAATATCTTATCAGGAGCAGACCCAGAGTCCAAGAAAACTTTGTCTTTTTAACAGAGATAAAGATTTTGCATCAGCTTACTTTTGATATTTAAATTCAGTATTTAATTAAATCCATTCTAATCTTAGCTTAACCACACATTAAAATTTCTTCTCAAAGACTCCTTTTCTACAAACCTTCTACAACTTTCCCTCCCTCCCTTTCTTCTTCCTCCCTCCCTCCTTCCCCTGCTTCCTTCCTTCCTTCCTTCCTTCCTTCCTTCCTTCCTTCCTTCCTTCCTTCCTTCCTTCCTGCCTTCCTTCCTTCTGCCTTCCCTCCCTCCCTCCCTTCCTTTCTCTCTCTCTCTCTCTCTTTTTTGCATTCGGATATTGTCCTGTTTTCCCTCCTTCCATTTCTGAAATAACCAGCCTCATTTTAGGACAAAATTACTTTCCTTTCCCTCAAAAATACCTATACTTTCCTATACCTATACCTATACCTATACTTTCTATTACTGAAAACATGTATTATTTTCCTTTCACCTTAATTAGAATTCTTAACCCTTAGATAACTATAAAGACATCTGTTTTAATTAAACCAACAAACTTAAACTAGCTTTTACTTAGTAAAAATTAATCTTAGATCACATGAACTTGAAAAGCATTTGATTTAGTTTCTGTTACATTTTTGAGAATTTATATAAGCGTTTGTTTGTTTAGGCCAATTAGAACTTTTTTCCAAATTAGCAAGCCATCCGGAGGTAAAATAAAACAAAACATAAACAACAAAACCCCCCCTGCATGAATGCACTACTTATCTAGATACAGTGAACATGCTAACAGATGCAGAGACCTCATGGCTTCCAAAAAATAAGTGGGAACAGTTCAAAAGACTTTTCCTCCTTTCCTTTTCCAGTCTGAGTTTTGAGACTTCCCCATAGCTCAGGCACAGTCTTGAGACAGGCTGGTTTCCTCTAGATCTGCAATAAATTTCCTGGCATCAAAGATGTCTTGTCCCACTATCTGCAGAATCTTTGCTTTCATTCCTGTTGTAAAAGTAGCCCCAGAGCATAGATTGCCTGGCACACGTCCAGCTCTCTAAGGATGTGCTGCACTTCTTCCACTTGGCCAGGAAGAGCTCCATCATTTGGCCAGGCCTTCCCGCAGGACAGAATGATCCCATCTATAAGGGAGTGGGTGCTGTGAATTCCTTGGGCACCATGCAGCCATTGCCAAAGGGCAGAGTATGTAGTGATGTTACTAATGTTTTTCTGATTTTTGCCCCATTAGAGAAATACCATCTCCCCTTGTGTCCCACAGCTACATTAACCAGGCAGGAGTACAAACTTGGCCCAGCCTGGCTTAGTGACAAGTGCTTGGATTCTAGGTCTGTGGCTGCTTGTGTCCTGTGTTTGGCAAAGCTACATGCTGAAGCCGGTTTCCAGTTTATTGCTTTGCTCTCCAATTCCATCAGCCAGTCCTGATGCTAATAGAGTTGAAGACATTCTACTATCTTTTTCTAGTTTCAGTTCTTCATCTAACTTTTATTTTCCTTTAATTTTTAACCTTGGCTTCTGCCTCTGGCCCACAGCTTTGGCCATGCTGTTTTGCTAACCCATGTTGTGTAATGCATTGTTCCTCAAACACACTAAGACCAGCCAGCGTCTTCAAGGCTTCCTTGTATTCACGTGGCGGTCCACATGCACCACAAGAAGTAGATGGCTAACCATGGACTCTCCCCATGGCTTTCTCTTTCCCAAGGTCCATTTCTTCAGTCCCCTGGTTCGCTCTCCACCACAACCAATCATACTGGATTAGTTTATCCTAATTACCTAATTTTAACTTGATTGTCTCTGTAAACAGCCTGTTTTTAAATAAAGTCACATTCTAAAGTACTGGGATTGTTATACCAATGTACACCAACATATCTTTTTTGGGGGGATACAACTTAATAACAAGGATGGTAGAAACTTGACAAGAGCACAAGAGAAGATGGATGATTAGTGGGCATGGTGTTCCCAGCACACATCATGATCAGGAGGCAATGCTATTATAGGCTTTCATAAGATAGGTAATAGGAAAAAAAAAACAAAACAGGATCATTAGAAAAGTAGAGGCTTTTAATTTGGGGTGTTGTTAGTGTTCCGAGATTCCTCTTTCCAAGTGGGCAATAAAGATTTGGACACTGGCAGCAAAGGGCTCTTCAGGAGATAGTTAACTAGAGCACATGGCGCTGTGGGACGCTATGTCTGGAGGTGCCACAGGCAGACTGGTCATTTCTTAGCGCATTAGTTGATGATTCCCTGCTATGAGACCTGACTTCCGATGACCACTGCCTTTGTTTCCTTTATGCTTCTGGAAAGAAAGTCGTGGCCCCTCAAAGTGAGGACCATGAACCAGAAGTGATAATATGCCATGATGGACTGGACAAGGAGTTTCTGTGGTGCCTGTTCTTCTTCCTGGTGGGGGGAAAAGAAATTGGAACTGTTTATTTCTCTATTTCTCATTCTCTTCCTGGGCTGTTCAGAGAAGCTTGAAAGTATTACTGCACAAAAATCCCAACCCCCTCACCCCTGTCCAAATGAAAGAAACAAAACCAAAACCAAATCCAATATTGAAACTATTTTCTTCAGGAGAAGAATACATATAGTAGATATTACCTCTTAGTAGCCTCCAATTACTGGGACTCATTAAGATCTTTACACATTAAAAAAAAAAATTTGTTATACTCGCTTTTCTCTGCTAAAAAATCAGCTGTTCCTTTCTATTTTGAAATCATTAGGTTGGCCTTAAAAGTTGGAGCAGTATTTTAAAACCATGTTAGATCAGGGATACAACATTTACCATATCCAGGGTAAAAAGGGAGTTCTGACAAAGAAAACAGGAGAAAAGAATGGGAAGAGGAAGAGAAGGAGAGGGAGGGCAACCAATGAAAAATTAAAGCACTGTTTATGTTGATGTTACCAATGGTGTCCCAGGTACTGTTTCATTTTTGATTGTTTCTCCTCCTACAAACTCAAACTCCTTACACATCAGACAATGTCTTATTCATCTTTGTTTTCCCAGCTCCCAGCAGGACACTTGACAAACAGTATGTGTTCAGGAAATATTTGTTGGCCTGAATCAAACCACAACGAACATTCTAAAATTTAAATTTCATAGCTAACCTCTGGGCACAGGTATATTTATGGACAGAAGACTTTCATAGACAAGCTTTTAAATTAAATTGTGAAAAATATAGACTGCTGGGCCCCAGCCTAGAAATTTTAATTCAGAAGGTCTGGGTAGGTATGGGTGGGTGGGGCCTGGGAATCTGCACTTCCCATAAATGCCTCAGGTGTTTTTGATAGAGTTTGGGAACCAAAGGCATCTTGTAAACTAACATATCAGATGCCTTAAGTCCTGGTATTGCCCTATTACTTTAAACACTGTCTCTTGAAGCTTGATCTGAAAAGAATATATGACCATTCTAACATGCAAATTTATCAAAGAGATTAAAGTAGAAGATGGTAGTCATAGACACTTGTTCCAAATGTCTGGTCTTCTTGGTGGGTCTGCAGATTTCTGAGAGTTCCCAGTCTCCAGTGCTGTGAGAGGCCTAACATAACAGGGAAGATATATGGAGGTGGACACAGATCAAGAGGTGTTTACTTGCCTTAGAGGGGCTTTGAAACCTTTTAACTGTTTACAGATCATTTTGAAGGAGATAAGTCAAGAGAGGAAGGAGATTAAATGTGTTAATAGAAAACAACAACAAAATATTAATACACACATGAGATGTTCAAGTTTTCTAATAAAGAAATGTTCATTAGTTCATTTGCTGTGGCTGGGTGGCTCGGTTGGTTGGAGCACCGCCCTGCGCACCAAAAGGTTTCGCATGTGATCCCTGGTCAGGTCACATACCTAGGTTTTGGGTTCAGCCCCCCTTGTTGCATATTACATCTCCAGTCAGGGGACATACAAGAAGCAGCCGGTGAATGCATCAATTAGAGAAACAGCAAATTGATGTCTCTCTCTCTCTGTCTCGCTCTCCCTTCTTTCTCTCCAAAAATCAATTTAGAAAAACAAAACAAAACAAAAACACATTGAGAAGTGGGGGAAAAACACCTATTAACTGTGTCCTCCAATACGAACACACTGGGCAGATACTAAAATGGACTCAGTGGGTAGGTGACCCTAATTTGAAGTCCATTATTAGGGATGAAGTGTTTCATTGTTAATTAAAACACTTGTAATAAGTGAGCATCCATAGTCACCGACAACAGCCTTTATCAAGACTACCTAAACCCACAGAAAATAGCAAAACAGGAAAGCATTTGTATGGTACTTCACAGATTTCTCTCTTTTTTTCAGTATAACCTCTGAAGAAGGTGGGTTTACTCGCTATCATAGCCAGTGCAGAGATAAGTGACCTCAGACCCAGAGGGCTCACCTGACACACCCAGTAACTCCTAGGTAGTAAAAGCTATGCTGTTAGGTTACGTCTCCGGAGTCCTCCCTCACCGCACTGACTCATTCACTAAGCGCAATACAACACCATAAAATATTATCTGGGATGAGAGTCAACATCCCATTTAACCCACACGGTATTCCTTTGAATTAGGTAGTTCTCGGAACCACTTCCTCTCTACACAGAAGGTAACTGAGGCCAAAAAGTATTGTGACAAATATACGGAGCTGTAAAAGGCAGCGTGTGTAGGTGGAGCCCAGATCTGCCTCCACAAGTCGGAAGCTCAGATTAGGCTTTGGTAGCGGCGCCTGCAAGTCAAAGATGAGAGCCCGACCCCCCGTGGAGCGCGCACCGGTAAGCGGGACTGCGGGCAGGCGCGGGAACGCCAAGGGCCTTAGGTGATTTACCGGATCTGAGCCCAGGGCCCCGGGCTGCTGTGGGTGGGGTCCATCGCACTAGTATCTAACTGGGATCTAGAATAGTTGAGAATTATCTGGGGTTTCCGATAACAGAGGGCACGTACCACGGGGCAGGTCTCCTGTTCTGGGAGCTGGAACGAGGCCAGCTCCGAGGTGGCTCAGAGCAGAAACCTAACGGGGTTCGAGGTTCAGCTTGGCGGCGGGGGCACGTCCCCGGGGGGGAGGCAGCTCTCTGGTTCCGCGCCGGCCAGCGGCAGCGGAGGCGGACCGTGGTGTGAGCCGAGAGGTGGGGAGGAGGAGAAGGGGCCGCTCGGAGCGGCCCGGGGCACCAGTAGACCCTGTGCGTCCCAGCGCGCTCGGCGCCGGAGTCCCGGAGCGATGAGAATGCAGGTCAAGGTAAACGCCGGCCCGACTCCCGCCCGCCTCTCGGTCCCCTACCTGGCGCCCCCCGGGAACTCGTAGCCTCAAGTTCCGCGCCGGCTTCTCTCCACGGCTGGCGCTGAGAGCAACAGGAAGTTTTGGGGAGTTGGAGAGGGAGAGCAACCGCGGCCTCTAGAGACGCTTGGGAAAGAAGTGAGCGTGGGGAATTAGGGTGAGGAATGGAGGCCCGGGTCATGCCTTGGTCTCCGATAAGGTGGCCAAACATCAACCTGGCTATCACTTAACCTATTTTGTTTGGACTGACACGCAGTATGTGGAAGCACTACTTATTGAGCACATTGTATTTTAGACATAGTACAAGGTGCTGGGATCACTTGAATTCGGTTCCCGGGTCCACCCCTAGCTATGATCTTGGGCAAGCTACTTAACTTTGGTGCTTTGGCTTCTTCATCTGGAAAAATGGGATAATAGTTATAATTGGAAGATTACATGAGATGCTGTATATGCAGTGCACTTAGAATAATAATGCCTAACACATTTAGCAGGTTGCAAGAGTTTGCGATTGTTATTGTTTCATCCTGTCAACCAGCCTGTCAATAATACTAGGAGGTCTACATATCATTGTCTACTCCCCCTCCTCCGCCTTCCATTGGTTTACAGGAGGGGAGGAAAATGAAACTGAGGGAGAAAAACAGAGTTCAGGTTTGAACCCAGGCCAGTGCTTTCAAACCCTGAGAGCATGGATAGCCTATTTATACCTATGCGTTTGGTCATTCCAGGGAGAAGGTGGATCACCCTTAATTGTCATAGTGGAAACTGAGTTCGTCAATTTCTTTTCCCTTGTATGCAAATTTTGTTGTTTCATTTTTCATCTGCTTTGGGTTTTTCCACTACTGATAAAGCGTTAGATATTCTGCCTTTACTTGAATCTGGGTTTAGCTTTACGAATCTGTTTGACAGTTTTTTAGGTCTCCCTCATGCCCCCCCCCCCCCCCCCCCCCCCGCACTCACTTGTAAAACATTGGATATGGAACTCCTCATGAGACTTTCTTGGGCTAAAATTGGGGACGAGTACCCTCAGGTCATATTAAACTTGTCTTGATAGGCAAGGGTGTGAATAGCATTTGATTGAGTTGTTTGTTACCCCAGCGGAGAGGGGAAAGACCCAGATAGCATATTGGCGATATGCCACAAATTTTGGTCTTATGGAAAAGTTTATTTATTTTTTGAGAGAGGGGAAGGGAAAGAGAGAGAGAGGGAGAGAGAAACACTGATTGGTTGCTTCTCTCACACATCCAGCTGGGGGCCTGTCCTGCAACCCAAGCATGTGTCCTGGCTGGGGATTGAACCCATGATGTTTTGGTTGGCAGGCCAGTGCTCAGCCTACTGAGCCACACCAGCCAGGACAAATATTGTCTTATCTTGCCTACAATTCTCTATCATTGTGTATGTGTGTATTTTTTAATTTTTTCTTTTCTTTTCTTTTTTGCTGCACATCTATGCCCAAACTACCAAGCACTTGGTAAATACTGAACCTGAAATATGTGTTGCCTCCTTTTCTTTCTCACTGAGTTTTCAATAATAGGTTTTTCATATAAGCTGAAGAACCCAAACATTCTCAAAATGACTTTCACCATATTTCTGGTAGAGTCATGCAGTGTTGGAAGTGAAGATGGTCACACTACCTATAAATCAATTCTTTCTTTGAGTCACATCAGAAGTCTGCGTGGCGAACTATTTCCTGTAAAACAAAAAACAACCATCATTGTTAGGTAAAGTATTCTGATGTGGGTCTCAGTTGTGCTTTTTATTTCCTCATTAAAAATATGAAACGCTTCATTCATTTTTGTGTCATACTTGTGCCTGGGCCATGCTAATCTCTGTTGGTCCAATTTTAGTGTATGCGTCACTAAAGTGAGTACTCAGTTGTGATCTCTTTTTTATTTTTTAGTTTTATTGAAGTTGTATATACACATAGTTCAGAGTCAAATAGTTTCATCAGGTTTATTCCTGAAAACAGCAGAACCCTCCATCATTTCCTGCATTTCAGAAAGAGCAACCATGTTCATCTCTTTTAGCTAGTTCGTACTTATTTATGTTTCTAAATAATGCTGATATTACTCCTTCTTGATTTTTCAGGATTAGTCATCATGTATTGTCTTTCCAGCACAGAGTATGAGGGTCTAGCTTTTCTTTCTTTCTTTTTCTTCTTCTTCTTCTTTTTTTTTTTTTTTTTTGGCATTTTTGCACTTACCCCTCATGTATGTCCTTCCTCTTCCTTCCTTATCCTCAGAATATAGTTATCTCATAATTTTTAGTTAAGTCAGTAGTTAATTATGTCACTATTATTATGCCTTCCTATCTCCTATGAAGAGTTTAGTAACTTTGGTTTTCCTCCAGAGTGTTCTTTCTGTATGTGCTTGCAGTTTTCTATGGAGTTTTCACTAATTTAACTGCAAGTTCTTCCCTAGTTATCTAAATCTTCTTTCAAGATGTGCTAGTGCAACAGCTATTGAATCAATTTAATCTTCTTGAATACAGCTTTCTGACCTGCTTTGGCCATCCACACTGGTTGCTCTTAATGTTTGTTGTACAGCTATTATTTTGGGCTCTCCTCACCGTTTTGTTGGGGATTCCCTTTGTTCCTCTGTTATTCAGACAGAAAGTTTTGTTTCTATTCCTCATCCTCATCCCCCTCCAGTCTAGAGGTAATCAAGCTGTTGGATTTGGAGCATATTATTTAGGTATATTTTTGCATACATATGTATTTTTTGTTTGACTTGTGCATTTGTTTTTACGTAAAGGAAATCACATGGTATATGTTGATATGCAATGTGATTCCTTCAGAAATAGCTCCTAGAGATCTTTCCATGTCAATATATATTGATGCTTTCTTGAATGGCATGTTCAGATCAACTGGACCAATGAAGATGATGCCTATAGCATTTTCTTGCTACCATTTTGCTTTTCTCATCACGAACAATCATTTTTCTAGATTCATGCAGCCAACACATATTTCCTGAGTGTCAGTTATGTGCTAGGTCCTGTTCCAGAGCCTGAGGATATACAGTGAACTAAACTTTTATTTTTGAGGTGGAGAGGAATGGTGAGATGATGCTTGATGATGGAACTGAGCTCAGCTGCAGCTTTGGGTAGCTTGTTTCTCCTCTCGTGGAGTACTGAGTACTGACATTATAAAATCAAGTCTCTCTGTCTCTGTGTCTCTTCTTTTGGTAGGAAATCATGACCATTACCAACTGAGCTATATAAGTTGTGTTCTACCAGAGCAACATAATTATACCCCTGAGGTATAGAAATAGAGTTCCTGAATGGATAAACAAAATGTGGTGCATGTGTGTATATACATATATATATGCATACAATAGACATTTCTCAGCCTTAAAAAGTAAGGAAATTCTGATACATGCTACAACCTAGATGAAAAGGGAGAGGACATTATGCTAAGTGAAATAGCCCATCACAAAAAGATACGGTATGACTCCGCTTACACGATCTATCTTAAGTAGTCAATTCATAGAAAGAAAGGGTAGCATATAGGTTGTCAGAGGCTGGATGGAGAGAGAAATGGGGAGTTGTTAAATGAGCATAAAGTTTCAGTTTTGCAAGATGACAAAACATATTTATACATGTTTAACAACATCAAACTGCACTCTTAAAAATGGTTAACATGGTGAATTCTGCATTATGTATATTTTACAATAGTTACGGGAAAAAAAGATTTTCACACAAAATCCATGATGTGCTTTGTCCTGTACTATGAATACGGTGATTAAACCTACTACTTTCAGCTGGCTTCAGCCTTTGCCTGGAACCGTGAATTTTTGGGGTTGTGTGGTGGGATAGCCATGGGCTGCCCTGGGAACTTTCTTCTGATGGTCTTGGCACCAGAACATTTAGTGGGTCCTCTTGTTGGGGGCAGCCCCATGCTGTTCCCCCTTTCTATTCACAAGTGTTGGTATTTCTGTATCTCTGGGGAAGAAGTTCCTCGGTTATTTATAGATAAACTCCGAGACTATTTTGGAGTGACTATTTCTGAGTGACATGCAGTTGGGAGCAGTGAGAAGTGGTCATTGTGTTTGCCTCAGAGTTTGCATTCTTTCTCAGGGTTTGGAAGTACGTGTCTCTTCAAGAGCATCCCAGTCCATTTTGCCTGGAAATGAAGATGTTTACTCAGTAGTAGGGACCAGTGCTTTCCCAGGCCCTGGTACTTCCTCATTTTTCTTGCTGGCATTTGCTCTGTGTGCTGGCTGTGGATGTTGAAATGGTCCAGGACCACATAAGGGTCATGCATTTGGGACTGTGCTGGGTGTTTTGTCTGGAGAGATAAGCCTGCTGAATTTGAATGTTCTTTTTTCTTACACCTATTCTTAAACTATGTGTGGCCATTATACAGAATTTTCTTTCAGGCAGACTCAAAGCACAGTGGGGTGAATGTCTGTAAACAACCAAAATTCTCTTCTTACTTTACTGATTGTGGACTTGAAGGCTTTTTCTTTTAAAAAAATAGAACAACTTTGTTTTTCATTTAGAGATTTTATTTACTTATTTACTTTTAGAGAGAGGGGAAGGGAGAGAGGGAGAGAAACATTGATTGGTTGCCTCTCACATGCCCCCAACCAGGGACCTGACCCACAACCCAGGCATGTGCCCTGACTGGGAGTCGAACTGGTAACCTTTCGGTTCTCAGGCTGGCACTCAATCCACTGAGCCACACCGGACAGGGCAAAAATTTTTTTTGTTGATTGATTTTTAGAGAAAGGGGAAGGTGGCGGGGGCGGGGGGGGAGATTTTTTTGTTCCACTTATGCATTCATTGGTTGATTTTTGTGTATGCTCTCACCAGGACTCAAACCCACGACCTTGGTATATTGGTACCATTCTCTTACCAACTGAGCTACTTGGCCAGGGCCTGGAGCTTCTTATAAAAGGTGACTTTTGATGTAAACAAGCCACCTATCCCCATGATATAAGGGGGAAAGTATCCCTGCCTGTCAGAAACTTGGGCTTTCTGTAGCAATTATGCTGAGTGGCCTTGGAGAAAACATACTAGTGGGATTTTTCTCCCCTGCCCTTTGGGCTGGTTTAACAACATTCTCTTTATTTTCCTAGCATTGAGATGTGTTTGGATATGAGCTAAGTGGTCCCACTCAAGTTGCTCACACAAATCAAAGGGACTTAGGTTTAGGCAAAACTTTGCTTGTGCTTAGTACATCATAGAGTGTGAAAATCATATGCCATTTTTGGAAAGCCTAGCATGTTTTTAACTTTCTCATGGATTTCCCTCTGCTGCAACTGAAAAAGGAGCAGAAGAGAGTAATGATAAACTCTCTAGAAATGGTAGCAGGGAGGTGGAAGAGTAATGAAAGGAACCAAAAGTCAGAAAAGGTATTTTACTGATTCCATGTCCTCCTGGCCTCAGGTAAGTTATCTCTGTTTCCTCATCTGCAAAGCAAATGGCCACCATTTACTGGCCACCTCTTTCTGAGAGCTGTGGAGTGTTGAGTCAGAGATTCTTTTGAAAATCTGGTGACAACAATAGCTCAGGGGCTGAAAAACTCAAACTGGAGTAGAGCCCTGCCGGGCGGGGGGTCTAAGCTGAGCTGGTTGGTGCAAGCTGTGTCAGTAAAGGCTGCCCACCTGGCCCTATAGACTGTCCCCAGTTGGAGTACAAGCCTAGTATTGTCATATTGTTTTTTTCCCCTTTCCTCGTTAAAGAAAATGCAGATGTACAGATTCTTTCCTGAGTGTGAAACCTCTTGGTCTTTACATTTCACTAGTTGCTTCAAAAGATTAAACGTATTTTATGAGTGGAACAAAACATAGTTGTGGCCTGCTCTCTGTCTGTGGACAGAAATATATATATATTTTGTTTTCCACTATGGGTTGATTTTTCTCTCTTTCTTAATTGCTGCCTGTGCCAATACCCCTTTTAAAATTTTTATTGAGATTTATTGAGATATAATTCATATATCCTATAATTCACCAATTTAATGTGTACAATTTAGTGACTTTTAATATAGTCACAGAGTTATACATTCATCACCACAGGCAAATTTAGAACATGTCCATCATGCCAAAAAGAAACCTCATACCCCTTAGCTGTCTGCCCCGTTTCTCTACCTGTGCCAGCGCTACGCAAGCACTGACCCACTTTCTGCCTCTATAGATTTACCTATTCTGGACATTTTATATAAATGGACTTACAATATGTATTTCATTGTGATTAGCTTCTTTTACTTAACATAATGTTTTCAAGGTGGTTCTATATTATAGCATGTACTTTATTTCTTCATGTTGCTGAAAAATATCCCATTGTATGAATATAGTACATTTGTCCATTCAACAGTTGATGGATATTTAAGTTGTTTCTGCTTTTTGGTTATTCTGAATAATGATGCTATGAACATTAGTGTACAAGTTTCTGTGTGGATACTTGGTTTCATTTCTCGAGGGTAGATACCTAGAAGTAGACTGTATCTAATTCTATGTGGTAATTCTTTGTTTAACCTTTTGAAGGATTGTTTTTCAAAGCAGCTGCACCACTCAGCACCTACAATCTCTGAGAATTCCAACTTCTGCCCATCCTCGTCCACACTTTGTGTTGTCCGACTTTTTGATGATAACCATCCTGAAAGGGACGAAGAGGTATCTCACTGTGGTTTGGAATTGAATTTCTATAACGACAAGTGATGTTGAGAGCCTTTCATGTGTTCACTGGCCATTTGTGTATCTTCAGATCCTTTGTGCAGCAATGATTTTTGATCCAGCCCTTGAGGTTTTCTCCTGAGAAATGCACATATTCACATCTACACAAAAGTTGTTAGTATCTAGAGGTTCCAGGCCCTCCCGCTACCTCTCTATGGGTCTAAGGATACCCACAGAAGACATGCTAGGTAGTGGGGAT